AAATATATTTTTTTGGATTCGAAATAATCCAAGCAAAGTATGCAGTCTTATGGCTAAGACTGCATACTTTGCTATGTTACATAGGATACCTCAAAAAGGAGCTTGGAAATATATTCACAAAGTCAAACAAAGCAGAACAGAGAACTGACTATAGAATAAATGGAGTATGAAGTGCCACGGGGTTCAGTACTTGGACCGTTAATTATCTTATTGTATATTAATGGCATTACCTAATATCCTGGCAAAAATCACACTTCTTACAGATGATACTACTGTGTTGTGGTTACAAAAACATGGACTCAATAAGACTCTATATTTTGTCGTTGAAATTGTATAAAACTATGTTATCAGATTCTGATGCAGTCTGACAAAATAACATAAAAATAATAAATTACAAATATATTTTTTTGGATTCGAAATAAATGGTAAATAGATATTCGAATGTCATGTTACTAGATGGATCTGTTATAGCTAAGACTGCATACTTTGCTATGTTACTTAGGATACTTCAAAAAGGAGCTTGGAAATATATTCACAAAGTCAAACAAAGCAGAACAGAGAACTGCACAAGCAACACAAAATTTTGCCAATCACATCCCTATAGTAATATATGTATATATACTTGAGACTTTCAACCTCGTACTTTAAAACAGGCGTATCATCAGGCTCCCAGTAACCCAGTACTTCTGATGAAAGATTCAATTATATTTAACGATATCAATATATCACCCACCCACTATGATGAAGGATATTCCATTATTCGATAAAAACTACTGCTAAATAACTGATCACATATCACATATATAAGTATGGCTCCTTAAGCTTTTGAAATTTTCATTATCGTTCGAAGAAATATGTACTTCCACCAAGGGTTGTACTTTGGTAAATTACAAGAGTAACAATATTGCTTAAGTTTTGATAAAACTACTTACATTGTCCACGAGGTTGTAAGCAAATGGTGAAAAAAACATCAAATATATGTACAATAAAACATTTTGGTAAAGTTGATTATACAATATTTGAACTAGATCAAAATAATATTACAATAAAAACACTCTTGAAATATTTCTAATGATTTGTCAAATTTATAACATAATTTCAAATCTTTTCAAAATTCCAAGTAGGTATCTAATATTGTGAAATTCAGAAAATTATAATATTCTGATATATCTTCAATTTTAATCAAATAAAAGTTGAGACACCTGTCAATTGCTTTTCCATTGGGTGTTTTATGATACATTTCAAATTAGTGCCCTATGAAACTGGTTTTTGAGTTGCCTCAACTGAATAGATTGGTAACACTGTTGAAATTTTGAACGTGATGTAAAAAACAAGCATCCATCAACTCAAATATTCGAATAATCTCGTTATTCTGTTACTGCGTTGTATTAAATTTCAACATTAACAACTTATTTTAAATATTGCCTGAACGTTTCAAGAGTGTTTTTATTGTAATATTATTTTAATCTGTTACAAAGATTTTATAATCAACTTTACCAAATTGTTTTGTTGTACATATATTTGTTGATTATTTGCATATAATCTCGTGGACAATGTGAGTAGTTTTATCAAAACTTAAGCAATATGTAAATACACATATTCTTACTCCTGTAGTTTCCCTGATGATGACAATGAAAAGTGTCTAAATATTGGAATCAACAATGTATAATCAAATGATCGTTGCGTTCGTTCCCGAATAATGCGTTTGCCGTCAAACAGAGCATTTTATTAAATTAACTATATATTGAAAGTATATTCGAATGAAATCTATATTGTGACAAAAATATATACAAATATTATATTTAACAATTTCAATTAGGGTCCACCTAGGTCCTGGATCCAGCTCTGGTGAGGGAGGGGTGATGACCCTCATAACCCCCCTGGGTGATGACCCTCATAACCCCCCTGGTACCGCTCTNATGAGGAAAACTAATTCTCAACTCTGAAATTGGTCTACATTTATATCTACAAGGTACATTTTCTGAAACACATCAACGATTCCGAGTGGAAATTTTCGGAAAATCATCTCGCGATATTTCTCGCTAATTTTCACAGAATGATTTGTAAAAAGGGAAAAATGGGGAGTTTGGTATTGCACCTTTTTCAGTGTTTATAATTCCCATGCCACATTCTACTATTTCCAGACTTTCGAAACAATGTAAAAATCTAGTGTCATGTACCGATCTCAACAATTTAGTGCCCGACTTTAGGTGGGCAAGAAGTTATAAAGGCTACTTCAACGTTCAACTTTTTTTAAATACGATCGAATCCGTTAGTGCGTCGTGGTTCATACGGAAAAACAGTACTTTGAATTTATGTCTTTTTGTAAAGTCGATTTGTGAAAATTTTCACTACAAATGTGTTTTTAGAAAACGGTTCTACTACAACTAATATAATCGAGTCATTCAAATTTCTCAGAATTCATTTTATATTTTCTGAACTTGAAGAACAGAGGTCATCTCTTGCCCATACCGGATGAAATAGATTGGCATATATATCGTTGTTTACTAATTATAGTGATAGTTACATTACTACAGATGCGGATGTTTTAATTGTTTCTATCATTTCATTTCGTTTATTTGCTCTAGTTCTCAAGATATTGTTTGCCCTCTTCCATGTATTAACGAGGATTATTGTGAGTGAATACACCAAACAGCGACGTACTTAATTCGTCATTAAAATTCAACTACATTTTTAATCATAACAGTGTTCCGGAGTTTAACATATACTGATTATGAAATAGTTATAGTAAACCTTTTAATTCATTTCTTCGTTAATAAATAAAAACAAAAGCTCGTACTGAATTCATAATACTGAAAAAATGGCTTTTAGCTGTAATTCGTCGAATATCAGATTTAGACAAAAATCTGTCTATGAATAAATTTATATATCAAGGTGTTTATACAGGACTATTCAAATTCAAGTCTATACATGGAAATTTTCGTCGCGTCAAGGAATACGAAAATCTAAGAATCTTCCAAAGTCCTTAGAAACCCTTTAAGGCGGGGACAAAAATATTTATATTGTTTATTATAATTCATTTATTGCATTATGTATTAATTAATATAACAACAATACAGGGTGTAACATAAGTACGTTAAAATATTCAAGTGACGTATTCCTGAGACAATTTCAAGAAAAAAGTATATATAAACTTGTGTCCGGAAATGATTCGTTCCGGAGATGCAAGGTGTTGAAATTGAATTTTTCCGATCGTTTTTCAAAAATAACTTTTGCAAAAACAAGTTATTTTCACGAAATTTGGTACCCGGTTTCTTTTGACATGAGAAATCATAATTTCTAATCAATTTTCATGTAACATGTTGAGCGTGCTACGTAAGCTGTCATTATTTATTTCAAATTGCCCTAACTTTTTTGACAGTGAACTTTTGGTACTTTTCATGAAACAATCTAATGCCCACACCATTTCCAAGTAAAAAAGGTATACTTCCTCATCAATGCTGGAGGTGATCGTTTTCGAAATATTTACAATTTTCTATATCGATGTATGTAGTAGATCTCAAAATAAACATCTTCTACCTATAAAATGTTTATCGAAAAGTTATTCGTTTTCTAGATAAAAATTGTTGAAACTTTTCAAAACATGGTTGGTTTTTGTCATAAGTTTTTTGCAATATCAGTTATTTTCATCGAACATTTTATAGGAAAAAGTCGTTTATTTCAATACAATCTTCAAACCCCTATTTTCCCTCTTGGGGTGGAAATTTCTGATTCCGTTTCTTCATGCTCATTTACGCTATACATAGAACCTACCTGCATATCACCTGAAGAGATGATAAGGCAAGTGTCTTGCGGCGAAACATCGGATGTCTACCAGTGAGGATGACAGTGTTCTATGTAAATGAAATTTTAACTCTTTCATTTAGTATGTAGTGTAGAAATCCTGTGAATGATATCTGATTTTATTTAACAACGAATGTTTGGAATACAAGTTGAATAGAAAAAATTGTGTTTATATAATACAGTGTTCATATAAAAAAAATAATTTTGCTCAAATAAAATTGGTACTATTAGTTCAATCTGGCAAAAAAGATTTGTAATTTAACTAATTCATAAAGACAAAATGAAATAAAATATCATAGGAACCATGCATGTCCGTTAGGTGTTATTAAAGCACTAGTTTATATTCCGGTTTCGGCTCCTAAATAAAACAACCTGTATTACAATAAATCACCTACCAGACTGAAAATTTGAAATCTGTTTCAAATCTGTTTTTCCGTTAATCAGCCGTTAATACATTAATATTTATTTTTGGAATGCACCTTTTTTATAAGAAAGTGAATAACATACTTCTAGGTATCCTTTTTTTATACATTTTTGATAACCTTCAAAGGAATGACTTCATAATATTCACTTATCTGAAGTGAAAATTTTGTTATCATTATTGTTCAATTTTGTATAGTATATAATTTCAATCTACACCTCATCTCAATCATTTGAAAAAATAATTTTCGTTCATTGAAACAAGAACACTTGTTTGTCATCACCTCTGAAACATGTTATACCTACTTCATAAGTCTTGAAATATCCTACATTCTAACAAAACCCACCACTGTTTTAAATTCAACACCAAATTTTTCTGAATAGTAAGCGTCTACCAAGGCGCACCCATGCCATAAAAATCTCATATCTCAGTGTAACCCTCTCAAGAAGTAGGTAACAAAAACTCCCACCCGAATCACTGACGATGATTCTGCAGGTCAAGTTTAAATAACTATCCGGCCAACTGTATATCTACCTGAAATTTCCTTGGGGCCAAAGCACGCCTGCCGTATATTTTTCGAGAGCGTTTTTAAGAAACACATTTACTCTATGCCCATATTTATAACTGCAGGAATTAGCATTCCTACAATGTTTCCTTGCAAAGAGTTAATTAGTTTTGATTTGAATGAGCAAGTGTTCTTTTACAGAAGTGATACTAGCACTTGTCAAGTCTTATCTGTTACTTTGTTAGATAAAAATATTTCCTTACGAGCTAACGGAAGACATTTTATACAAATCATAAAAAGTATTAAAGCCATTATCACAAACAGACAAAAATCTGCCAATAAAAATTATACAATATTAAAACTAAAATATCACATCGACATCAGTCAAAAAAAGTTAAAAATTAACAATATTGAGCAATAAACCATCACAATGGAAAGAGTAAGGCACTGGGACATCACAGGACTAATTATGTTACCTCCAAAAGTGATTAAGCTTGGGCCCATCTATCGCAAGGTACTTGCAGCTCGGGTGTTTGATAGTTGCAGATAGCATTTTTGTCTCCGTGTTCGCAGATGTCGGCGTCCGGCCCAGCGATGGACGTCCAGAAGAAAGTTCCCGCCTCTGTCCTGGCGAAGTGGACGGGGATGTATCTCTGGCCTCTGGCAACAGGCAGGAAATCCATTTCCCCATTTTCGTAGACGGGAACGGCAGCTAGGTCATCGCACTGGTCGATTTCCTCGAAGATCTCGTTCTCCAAAATCTCGTTGGCGACGTTGTCGGCAATCTCGTCTTCCTCCAGGAAGTAACTGGGTTGCGGATGTTTGACGTAGGTGTTTTTGTCGTTTTTCTTCAGGATGCACTTGATCAACTTCTTGATCTGATGTATCGGCGACTTGGACTTCTTGTCATTGACTCTGTTGTCGTTGACAGAATTGTTGTAAACTTCGTCGGTATTGAAACTCATTTTGCGTAATAAAATATGGAGCGTGTGTACAGCAAAGAACAGAACGTAAGATACGAACGTGAATGCTCTTTCAGCCCAGTTCCGTCGTATTTATACCATTTCCCTGACGTCACGGACCCTTAGGACAACTTGAGAGGGGTTCTACCCTCGGCCTATGGCTGCTAAGCTAAGGGACAGGTGTGCGCTTTTCGGTACAGCGAGCCTGCCGAGTGACGGGCCATATGCGGAGATAGAAAGTGGGACAGAGAAGGAAACGCGTGTGTGTACGCGTATAGGGTGTACCAAGATCCGTGAGAATCGCAATCACCATCGAGTTCCCACGATTTTACGAAGGCAGATGGCATACGTAGGGGTGTTTAAAAAAGATTTTCGCCTACGCGAGGGAGGAGGGCATTATGTGAAGTATTGACCCGTTTTACCTCTTCCAGACTATTCTTCGGTATTTGCTCATGTCGAAAGTTTTGAAAGGGGAGTCTTGAAAGGGGTTCCTATTTCTTTTAATTTGTATCGAAATGCACGTGGACGGTACGAGTTTGTTACAAAAGAGCAGGTTGATACGGTCAGTTCTGTTGAATAAATTTACGTACGGTATTGATTATTATACGCGCAAGGAGATGTAGGTACTTTGAGGGGTTGTTTATCGGGTTGAGGAATTCTTACCTGTATCTTGGATTATTCGAATTTCAATGGGGTATTTTTGTGCAAAATTTTATATTGTACCGTTTACGGTTTACGGGAAATAACAATCCTTCTCGTTGAAAGGGGAATATAGGAATGTGAAAGTGAACACAGACACTAAAACATTATTTCAAGTATAGAAACATTTAAGCAAAGATGAATAACCCAAAAAATATATGTAATACATTGAAGATTCAATGAAGAAATTAATTGAAATTTGATGAGTCATGCAGGGTTAAAACTTTGTGGATAACAACAATAATACGAGATGAAGCCGGTTTTCGAATTATAGAGTAGGTATTCTCGTTTTCGAAATAAAACTGAGATTTTTTTTAAGAGAACTAGCTGTAATCTGTAATTGCTACAAAAATATATTAACTCTTGATTTGTTTCACAATCTTTCTGGTTGTGGAAGATTAGAAACATATCAGAACCTAAAATATAAGTATTAGATAATGATTACAAAACGAGAGAAATTTTGAATTGAATGTAGTTTCAAGATAAAAAAAATAAACTCGAAAATATTTCTGTCAAACAATACTTTTTTAGTATTTTTTTAATAACTGACACAAAAATACATGGAATGGGAAATTGGACAAAAATTTCCATTTGATCAGAGTGATTTTTTTCGATAACTTATCTGGAGTTCAAATAGAATGGACGTGAAAGTGTTATTAACAATATATAATTTATGACAGGGTCCAATTTGACCTTCCCATTGTTAAATATCAATTATTGAGCACGAGCCAGACAGCAGTTAAAGTGTATTGGAGCAACAACAACAAGCATTGGAACAACTACAAAAGGGGCTGTGTAATTCATAATGTGGTCATGATAGGTTTCTACAAAGCAAAGTACGAACATTAATATTTAATAAATACTAGTGACTTCTTTCGGATTATTATGATAGAATTGAATAATAAACATTGAAAATACTGTTTGATGTATTAATTTTGAATGAATATTTTCAAAGAAAAAAAAAAAAGAATCATGCTTTATTATTATTCATTTTCAAATCCATCAACTTCAACAGAAATTAGTACTCCTCTTTTCATGATATATAATCATCACCTATTCGAATATTTTCTTCATAGGATTATCCATTTCAGGGGTGTTGTCATTCCACTACATAAAGTTGGTGATTTGGATGATCCCTCCAATTTGTCTCCTGTTTCCTTAATACCGACTTAGGCAAAAATTATTGAGAAATTAGTCAAAGTACGTTAAGATAATTCCTTAAAACTGTACTATATTATAAGCAAAACCAGTTTGGGTTTCAGGCGGAAAAAGATACAAATGATGCTATCTTCCCTTTTTTATATGAAATTTACTCTGAATTGAATGCTGGTAAAGTAGCCGCCGCAACTTTTTGCGATATTTCAAAGACATTTGATTACGTTGATCATAAAATTTTACTAAAAAAACTTCATATATATGGATTTAGACAGTCATCGCACTTTTTATCTTAGAGGTGGATTGCCTTATTTATAAACATAAANATATGGATTTAGACAGTCATCGCACTTTTTATCTTAGAGGTGGATTGCCTTATTTATAAACATAAATCGAAGTTCAACATTGTTTCTACTCCTTATGCTACTCGTAATAGCAATTATACCTTTAGAGTGTTCATCCCAACTTCGCATTCAATCAAGGATTCCATATACTATGATGGTGATAAGTTGTTCAATCATTTACCATTAGAAATAAGATCTGTAAATTTAAGCAACATTCATTTCAAAAAGGCGGTGAAGAACCTACTTGTTGATAGACCCTATTATAGTTTGGAAGAGTATTTTACTGAATCTTTTTGACAATAAATTAACAATTTATTCTTTGTACTATCACTTAATGCATTATGGTGTTTTATCTATACATTTTCAGAACTTTTTTTATATTTACATTTATACATTTCTGACTTCGTCAATAAATACAAATCTTCGAAAAATAAAGTATATTTTGATTTGATTCTGATAATTTTTTCGTTCCATCTCAATGGATATAATGTGTTCTGGAAGAAAATAAATTAATAACATGTGTTAGAAAAATCATATATCAAGTATATAAAATGAAGAAGAATAAAAAAAAAATAAAAATAAACTAAAAAACTTAGAAAAAAAAAAAACAAAAGATTTCAAACCAAGCTCTTTCAGGAGGTTTCGATTGTTATTATCTTACAATAATCGTCTTCTGGTGATGAAGTAGTAGCTGTTGTATCTTGTATTGTGTGATATTATAAGTTAGATGTTTTATTCAATTTTGGTAAAATAGCTTTGTTACAAATGAATAATGACGTTTTGTGGAAACTTAGAAATCAGATTTTTATATTCATTCAAAGATAATGAATTGGAAAAACTCCTTTTTTTCAAATTCCAAGTGTCATCCTGGTTTTCGAAACATGAGTTCAAAACCCAGAAGAGAGTCCCATGTTTTAGCAGCTAGCAAATAATACGTGTGATGAGTTTTAGAAAATTTAAAAAAACTATGTGAAAGCATAAACACAAAATGTTATCACGAAATGAAATTGGTGAAATGAATAAAACAAAAAAGTGATTCGACAACACGGGGACAACACATGTCTCATCATTTGCAGAGACTGGGATGGCTAAAAATGGAAGCTCGTCGCATATTTCATTATTGTATCACCTACCATAAGATTATAACAACAAAAGTACCCAGTTATCGTCACGACAAAATAAGATATAGAAGAGACATCCATAATTTGAGATTCAGAAATCAACTAACTACACCACGCCATAGAACCATTTTATTTCGTGGATCCTTATCTTATAATGTGGCCTGGCTTCATAATCGAATTCTCAATTCACTAAAATCACTCTCTGCGCTAGATTATAGAAATAAACTCGATACTTACTTACTGAAACACAAATTGCCTCAACTTCTCTGTCAATAAAGTAATTTTGGTGTAAATGAGCATTTCATATACAGTTAGATTTTCATTTGCATTTCCATAAAATTATTAAAGTAAAAACTGTTATCACACTATGAGGAAGGAATTTGGAAATCAAATATTGGACTGAGAAATGTTAATTAAATAACCCAACATTAGTTATTTCATCCAGTAGTCTCGAGAGACTACTGGTAGAGAGATTGTATGGGAAAATATTGGTAACAGTGAAGGGAAATAAGACTTGTCATTATCACTCTGCCACCCTTCTGATAGATGGAGAAAAGTGAGAGCGCATCATTACGAAAATTCGATTTGGAATTATTGTTAACTACAAGACCAAAAAAAAACATTGTGGGCGTTGGAGAAACAAATGAGACCCGAATAATATACCTGCATATACGTACCGTATCCACTAGCATACATATTATGTAAATTAAAAAAGAAGCTGCACGTGTGCAGAAGACAAAAGATCTCGCCCAACAGGTTCTAAAGAGATGCTGGCCCCAGAGATACATAAAAAGGGGCCTCCAAAAACAGTCACGCTTATAAAAAATATCCATCTATTAAAACGGGCCACATTCCAACACTGGAAGTCACTTAATGTTCCTCTAATAATAGGGAGCGTTGATATCGAAAAAATATGTATATTTAAGATGAGAAGTGAAGCATTTGAAGAAGAGATTATAGTTATGCAGGTGAATCAATCAACTTTTTTAGGAAAATCATAGGGCTTGCTTCATAATACGCATGAGGAGCAACTCAATTGACGCGTGATTTTGGTACCAGTTCCAAATATTTTTTATCTTGTCTGTCACCACACATTCAAACGAAAACGACTAAATAATCAGACAGTTTTAATCTAGGTACATATTTTTTTATGATTTTGCTCTTTTTCAATATTAGTGATATTACTTACAGGGGTAAATTGTATACATTCCTATTGCTTATGTCCATAAATTACAAGGTTTTCAATTCGTTGAAAAATGATTCTTGTTTTATGCAAATGCCTTATTGACTTTCAAACTCTCTATTAATAAAGAGAAAGGAACTTCCAAAGAAAGTAACTTCCAACTTCAAATTGTTCACTTCCAAAGAAAGTAACTGAGAAAACTCATCACAGAGATGTGAAGATCATATAAGTTTCTCTACGATTATGAACGCTGAATAACCCGGAAACATTCGTAGGGAAATTGACAGATATCGTACACAGAAACGCCACACAACTCAAATATGACAGCTCGTTTTGGACATTTTTAAAAGATAATTCGGTTGAATACTTACAGAAAATTATTTGACATTGAAAGAGATGAATGTACTCCATCGTAATGACAGGTTTTGAAAAGTATATACAAATGGTTACTGTCACTATAATACTAACCAGAGAAATGTCATTTATTGAAAAGAAGGGAAAAAACCTATTTGGCTTTTCATTTCTTGTTCAACAAATGATCAATACAAAATTTCCACAGGAGAGAAGAAAAAAATATACATCTAGGTGAAGATGTGTAGATTGTGTTCAGAAGTTTTTTGTTCATACTGTATATATTGCTGGAAAAAATAATACTTGTATACTGATCTACTACTTTTGATTTTCAACTTTAAATTACGGAATCGCTTTTTCTTCTGAAGTTTGTACATCTCCTGATATATTTTTCAAATTTTTACTTTTGTATAACTTCTTTCAAGCCTCTGGAAATTGCTCACCCTTTGTATATTGATGGTTCCTATTTCAAAAATTTATTTTTCGTTTTTGAATAACTTACTGCAAAAAAGGCTTTTGAAAATTTCATAATAGAATATGTCTGTTTATGAATATTTCGCACTCATCTTGGTTCATCGGTGATTTTTGGCAATAGAAAGCAAAATTATTTATTAACAAATAAATGAATCTACACGATAATGCACATAAAAGTCATGGAATGAATATGAAATAGATATTTCAAATGTATCATATGAAAACTTTTCGCAATTGTTTCATACAATGGATTGCCCTTAAATGTCGGATTGTTGAAATCAAAGTTCAGGTTAATGAACAATATTATCGTACTTATTCAGTTGAATGTTGTTTATACTGATTTTGTGCCACCCACAAATATGTGGATTAACATTTTTGGTTTAGGTCTTTTGATAAAAATACTATTGAACTGTATTAATGATATTATTAACATACAATGGTTCACATAACTTTTTATAAATTTTTGGGTACTTACTTACAATTTCATCTGAGACTATATCGCTCTTTAACAATTTGTTCTCTAATAAATAAATATGAAATACAAACATTCATTTCATGATAAACTTTTGTTCTTGAAGGACGCGAAAAAATCATTTCTAATTGAACTACAAATCGATGAAAAATCTTCCAATTCTATAATGAATAAAAATCCCTCCGAAAACTTCTCAAATTGTTCACAAAAATCGTATTTCAAAACTGAACTTCCCAAATCATTCCGTTTTTTATCGAAGTGACTTCTAGACAAGTCTAAGCCTGTAAAATTCTGCAATTGTACCAACTTTTTTCTCACGTGCCGAGAAGACGCAAAATAGGCCATACTTCCTCCTACACAAAAGGTTACTTCGTGAGTCACACGGTCTTATCCCATTGTGATCCTGTTTTAAATGTTAACTTAAAGAAACTTTGGCAGGATCTTTGCTATTGTGCAATTTAAGGTAAACAGACCTGCCCAACACGTGAGATATATTCTCTCGTATACTTGTCGGGACTTGTCCGCGTAGCAAATAATAAGAAGCCATGTGATGAAAGGGGAAACGTACGTTGTTATATCAATAGAAATCGGGGTGATAAAAAGTCTGGTTATCAGTATTTTTTATCGAGAAATTTACAATACGGATTATATTTATTGAATTCGTATCTTGTTGTCAAACTAATTTGAAAGAAATTATTATGTATTGCTTTTTTTTTATATCAGGGATTCATTTTAAGTAGAAAAAGAGATATTCTGATTTATTTTTTCATGTCCCCTAGACAGGTAATTGAGGGTGTAAACTGTGCACCTTGCTGTGGTAAATCTCCCCTAACTTCAACCTGTTATCATAGGGGGAAGCACCCCTCAGCATTTAAATCTACACCTAGGGTGAAAAAGTAATGAGTTCTAACTATGTAGGTATATAAAGAAAATCAGTTTATTGCCTGTTGGTTATCTGTTAACTAGGTTAAATATAAATACTTTGAAAAATTCAATATTAAAATTCACAATTGAATTACAGTCACTGTATTAATGGCAAGATGAACGTAAAGTTATAACAATGTAATACAGTAAATTTCAATTTCAAATTTCGAAACAATGAAATGTGTAGATGTTGCTAGGAATCTCGACTTCAATAAGGAAAAAAAGATACAAAAAATATTAATTATTTCACATACTTCAAGAACGTTTTGTTTTAGAGACAAACAGAATTGAAAACTATTGAATTACTTCTTCAGAAAATGTCATGAAAGACACATTTTTGTGAGTATTCTATTTAGGTTAAAAAATGTTATACCTATGGCTCTCAATATTAGGTATGTGCCATTTTGAGTGGATCTTTATATATTTCTATCAATTATTAAATTGAATCATTTCCAACTGAACAAATTACCTTATATTTTAAAGTGTGATTCCAAACACGGGTTGGACGATAGCAAGTGAAAAATCGATTGTTCAGCCTAGTGCTTGAACCAGCGACCAACACGGCAGCCGATTTGAGTGAGTGAACAAAGCACCCACGTCGGCTACCGACCGACTGATATAATATGTCGGTTATGCGATTTATAATTTGTAAAATACTCATTGGAATTGTATCTTATTAACTTTTACTTCATATGAACTTTGAATTATCCGAAAAATACTTTTCTCTATTCCGTTTGCGTTCCTTACATCCATATAAAAGTATTTGTTTTGAAAGAATTTTGCTTTCGTGTAATTCAATGTTTCCAGATTTATGTCTGAAAGTTACTTCTTTGCATGATCTACACATCTTTTATAGAGTTAATTTTTGAAATCGATTGCTTCCTTCCTTTCTTTGGAAGATTCTCACATTTTTTTGTTTCAAGATGGAGTAGTAGATAGCCAAAAATTTCTTTCCCAAAAATATATTTTTACAATACACAAATTTCTCAGTGTTTTTTAATCATTTTTGGATTCGTACTCACATACAATCATTTATTAACTTCTCCTTTAACTGCTATATAATTATTTCTGATTTTTTGAAATAATAATATACTATATTCTCTAAAGACTAATCATATTGACGAAGCTGAGGACAATTATAATGTTTAGAATAAAAAACAAGACAAAACGTGTAATAAAGTATATGAGGATATATTATAACCAAGGTAAATATAAAATGAATATATGCATAGTGTTACCATTAAAATTAATATATGAAATATCATATTTTCTTAAAATCTATTTAATTACTTCATAAAAAAGTAACCATCTAAAGATAAGTTCTTATATATATTTTCACTTTAATGAAATGAATAAAAACACATTTGTCTAATTACCACTAGTTGATTTTATTTATACGACCGGTTTCGGTCGGTCAGTCACTGACAATTGTCCAACTTATATTTTCAATAATGATATGCCATTCATGAAGAGTTTCTTTAATCTCTCGCACTTTTGATTTCTGTAGTGAAAACGTGCAAANGTACACCATGAGTATACCGAATTACTTGTAGTTGTGACTTTTTTTAGATCCGAACTATGAAAATAAGCACGCTGGATTGGGTATAAAAGAACATACTTTCTCAGAAAGCATTCATGACATAATACTTGCAGCTATTCAGCAAGAAATCCATAAATATACCATACGGGTACTTCAAAACACAAAGAGTGTTCCAATAATTCGAGAAGGGTGGTAACAAGCAGGTATGAAAACCATCAGTCGTCCGACATCCAGTCCCATTATGAGTAGGAATCTGTTAGGAATATCATCATCTAGCATGACAACGTCGTAGCCAAAATGGCTAACTTTGGTAAGACTAACTGATTCTTTTCTAGCTGACGGAAGCCAATGCAGAGTAGGACACGAACTCTCCACCAGGGATTTCTGAAAACAGAAGACTGCACTGCACCTCTCCTTGGTGTACACAGCAGACATGCCCAAGCCGGAGAACAATTTCAACAAGTGCGATTTCTATGCGGACGACACAGCACCCATGGCCAGATCCACCAGCCACACGCTAGTTACAGAATACCTGCAAGAACAAATGGATATACCAGAGGAGTGGGCCAATCTCTGGAAGATTAACATCAACCCCAACAAGAATCAGGCGATACTACTCACCTAGAAGATGACATAACCAAAAGGAAATGTTCTCTTCAATAGACAGGTGCTTCCTTGGACAAACGTAGTAAAAAACCAGAGAGTCACTTCTCATCATTATTCATGCCTTCATTGCTTGGGGCCATTCCGCAGAAACATATAGACTCTGTATCTTAGCACCCAGTAAGTGGATGTCTTTCTGAGAAATCACGTTAAGTATATTTTTGAATGAAATCAGACACAATCTAACTCAGCACTGCACACTGAACAAGGACGACCCCAGATTTCGCGACAGGGTTAAGCACAAAAGGCCTATAAAGCAAAACAAAAGACAATTTCCGAGAGTCGCTGACTGGCGACTTCGGTAAGTATAACAATATAAGATTAACTCAGAGACATGTTTATATAAATACACCCACTATACAATCCGGAACTACAAACACACACTTAACCCATGACAATACATATCAGTCACCAGTGAGGCAAACTATTATGAAAACAATGCAAATAGTGGAGCTAGGAAACCAAACAAAACAGACAACGAGGAAACGTATTATCCAGAGGTTGACTTCAAATCACAAGAGGTAAGATATCAATCTAGCTGAAGTGCTAAGTAGGTTGAGGAAGCGAGCAGTGGTGGATGGTATAGAGATTCTAGGTTCCACACGCATCAAGCTTGTTGAGGAAAACCTTCATCTTCAGGCACTCAACTCCGAGAGGAAGCATTGTGTTCCATTTTTAGTTTGCCTATCGCAGCAAGGTAGAATTAGATTTATTTCAAAAGTGGATTTTGATTTTATGTTTTGTTCCCTTAGGGTGTGTATTTCCCACAATTCAAAATAAACATTGACATTGACCATATCTTTGTATATAGACTATATACAAAGACCATATCTACTTTGGAGGAAATAGCAATATCAGTTATCAGTGTAGTAACTGTTGAGTTTCAACAAAAAATGCAAAATGATGAAAAGTGAAGTGAATATGTTCAAACCTCCAGAGCCTTTGATATTAAACGAGGATAGTAATGCAAGTTACAGAAAGTTCAAACAAAAATTTATGATATATATGAGAGCAACAAATTATATTATGGAAAAGGATGACAGAAAAATCGCTATTTTATTGAATGTGGGCGGCGAAGTTGTTATAGATATTTATAATGCCTTGGAATTGAGTGAAGAACAGAAACAAAATTATGAAACTGTGATGATTGCTTTTGATAACTATTTTATGCCAAAGAAGAATGAACTGCTAAGCAGGTATCTTTTCAATATAAGAAAGCAACTTGAAGGTGAAATGCTTAAAGATTTCATTAGAGAATTGAGAGATTTAGCAGAACCATGCAATTTTGGACACCAGAAAGAATCATTAATTAGAGATCAAGTAATCCTGGGTATTTCAAATGATCAGTTGAGAAATAATTTGCTCTCACTCAGAACTTTAACACTTGAACAAATGGAACAAATTTGTAATGCTTCTGAGTTGAAAAAAAATCAAGTAAAACAGGAGGTAGATGAATATTCCATCCTTAACGGAGTGGGTAGGTATATAATTCTTATTTATTTGATGAGATTTGGGATAAAAACATTTTTGCATTTCTACTTCTAATATTGAAACGTATACCATTTACTGAAGACACTTAATAACTATCAATTAGTTATCTTGATAGATTTGATGTTTCTGTGGAAAAGAGGATTGAAAATATATGTCATTCTTCAATGTCCTTATAATAATAATTTTCACATCAATATAAGGTACATATTGACCCGGAAACCAGTTCAGCATATTCCTATCCGTGAGAACTTTAGATTTAACATATATATGTATGTTTGCATTTAAGATGCATTATCATGGTTGGATGTCTTATTGGCATCTGAAATATGAAATTCATACAGCTTTATTGCAGGTTGTTTCCATCAAGCTCCTAATATAAACATTGAATGCATCCCAGAGTTGATGGAGATAGAAAAACAAGAGCCATTTCAATTGCCTGAAGGATTGCCTCCAACTGTTCTAAACCTAATGGATGATTTGAGGAGGGCAGGAGAAAACTATAAGGGTGATAATAAGAAAGATTTTTTCACAGAGGAAGTCAATTTGAATTTATTAAGGCAAGGAGATAAGCTAATTTTATAATGAGTATGTTTGTATTGGATGAAGTCAAAAACTATTTACAGTTCTCTGTTGATCCCATAGATGGCGTCTTCGTAAGGGGAGATGTCACCGCCCTTACCCAGGCTTGTCCTTTAAGGAAGTTGAGTCCAGCAATGCATTTGTGGTTCAGCCCTGCACCCCTGATAAGATCTATGACGGGTCGAAAAACAGTGCTACCTGGTGTTGAATCATGAATGTGTTGTAATTGGGCTCTTGTTTTCAACTTTTAACTGATTTTGTAAATTCTTTCACCTATAGAAAATTATTTTGTCAGCAAGTAGCATGGGCTATATTCAATTTTTGAACAAATAACCCCATGAAAATTGCAATAATATAACCCAAGCTATCAAAAATTGCCTATAAAAATCATTAGTTGACCAAAAATTATGCCAGATTAAAAGTCTAACTATAATACATGAGTCATAATAACCGCTTTTTTCCAATTAGTCAATAAAACAGCAGTTCAAGTAAATAGGTTGATTACGTTATGTACATGTATTCATCTCTGAACTATTCAAATTATGTGTCATGATGAAGTTATCCTTGAGCAAGGCATCCTTGCGCAGTGGAGGCAATTGTCTAGTTTATCTTAATAGCAATAGGCCAATCATCAAATTGGCCAATATTTGATGAGAATGCACGTGTTTGTTGATATAATTTCTCAAATTGGAAACAAAAGTTTCACTATACTATAGCTTCTCTAAGGTATTTAATATCGCTTCTAGATGTATCATGATGGCGACAGGAGAAGGTGCTTTTGCCACTTCTCTTCAGTGAACTTGAATTAACAAAGTGTAAACATTGTTCAAAAATTTTTAAAGACAAAATGCATAGAACCATCTAGCAAGCAGAAAAAACAGAGTGCAAACACGTTCCTGATTCCCAAGTTGACAATTCAAATAAAGATGTATATCTATCAAAAGAAGCACACCTGAAAGAATAAAATTCACTCCTGAGGCAAATCATAATTGATAAGGACACAATCATCAAAGATAAAGAAACAATTCTACTACCAAACGAAAAAATTTCTTATGTGTAGATAGAATTGGCAAGTTGCAACAATATTCAGATTTAGTATTAAAAACAATGAACGAAAAAAATGAGGACATGATTCCAACAACCAGCAAAAAGGTGATTAATACTTTCCACAAAAATAACAATTTGCTTACCAAAACAAAACCGCTAGAAAGCTCTAATACATAGGGTGATGCAGGTATACAATTGAATCAACTTTCTGCAGAACTGATGGAAATTTAGACAAAACAGAAATGTGATGAAATCATAAAACTGGAAATAAACGATTCTACGATGAATGGAAATAAATCTAACAATGACGAAGAGATGAACGATTTCAAAATAGTTACAAGGAGAAGAAGAAGTTTCAACATTGGCAGTGAAGATGGAGACGGTGAAATGACTGGAAATGGAGAAACTGGAAAGAAAATCTGGCTCTTTATTACAACGGTACCTGATGACATAACATTCGATGGAAAGCCAGATAAAAAAATACCCAACTAAACCACGAAATAAAACAAGCAATCATTTATGGTTGGTATAGAACCCCATCTTTAGCAGCAAGTTTATGAATCGAAATTTTGGCCAAAAAATATTCTGTTTGATCGCTTCAATTTCAAATTAGGGAAAAGCTTCTTGTATTATCCCCAAAGGACATAGCAACAAACAGAAACCAGTGAACAGCCAACTTATTTTTTATAAATAATGACAATATTAAACATTTTAACAACACACCGGGAATTCTCCCCAAAATGTCTCTATCTTTTATCAGAATATTCGGTGTCTAAGAAACAAAGTTTTAGCTATTGAACATCTTCTGAACCGTAACACTGCAATAAAGTTTGTCTGCCTCACAGAACATTGGCTGACACAAAATGATATTCATTATTATAATTTTTCACACTTCAGAATGGTAAGTTATTTTCGGAGAAATAACAAAAAAAAGGGTCTTGCATTTACATACACAATGATATCAATGCCATTGGCTCACTAATATTATTAAATACTCAACTGAACAGATTTGTGAAGTATCAGCATGTTATGTGAAACAGGTTAATCTGATTTTAATAAATGTATATAGGACTCCTTATTATAAAAATCTGGATTAGTTCTTATTTTTAATGAATAAAATATTAGAAATTGCAGATAATTTTAATAATAATGTAGGTATACATATACTTGGTAGGTGATTTCAATGTACATTTTAATGATATCAATGATTTAAGTACTCAAAAGATAACATAACTCTTCATGTCATTTGGTCTATATCAAATGATAAACGAAAAAACCCATATCAAAAGAAATTTTCTTGATAACATATTTAGTAATAATGATCTTGCCAATGTACCCATGGACCCTCTAGGACTATCCGATCATCCCTTGGGATATACAACCAATAACATAGAAACACTAAAGTCATATTTGCAAAAAGAAGATTGGTTCAGTGTATATACAAGAAATGATGCTAAAGGAAAATTTAGTAACTTTGAATTCAAATTTATGTTTTATTATAACATTAGCTTTCCACACACTAAAGTAAGATTTGAATCAAAGAGAGCATCAAAATGGATAAGTCCTGAGGTTACAGACTCAAAAGATACTTTAATCCTTTTGAACAACAAAAATATTTATAAAACTTGTAAAGTGCAATATCAAGAAATATTATTGGAGGCAAAAAAGCACATTTCCACATTATATTAAGTAAAATAGATAATTACAACAAAACTGTGTGGCAAATCATCAACTCCAAAACAGGTCTGAAAAATTAAAACCTTAAATGAACCACAGAAATCTAATAGCTAACCAGATGAATGACTTCTTTATCAATAATATAAACACAATTCTATTGCATTACCCAAAATCTGATGTTGAACCTATTACTTTTCTGGAAAAAAAAGGAGCACAAATAAGTCGATGTTCTTTGGGCCTGTAACGACAGATGAGGTGAGAATTATCATAACTAAGTTAAAAAATAAAAAACTGGAGATATAAACGGTGTGAATGTTTTAGAAATAAAGAGCACCATTGAATATATAACTCAATCCTTAACAGATATTATCAATACTTGTCTTAGTGAAGGCTAGTTCCCTCAACAATTAAAAACATAGAATCCTGTCAATTTATAAAAAAGGTGTTACATCAGAAACAACATTTTTTCGACAGATAGCAATACTGCCAGCTTTCTCAAAGATTTTTGAACATATAATTCACGAACAACTAGTAAAATATTTTGATATAAATAATCTTCTGAGTCTTCATCAATTTGGGTTTAGGAAAAGAAAATCGACATCTGATGCAATACACTTTCTTACAAATAGTATAAAAGACGCCTTTGATAACCAAGAAAAATATGTGAGCGTTTTGCAGCATTCGATTTTGTAGGTTACTCAATTGTATTGGCCAAAATAGATTTCTATGGGATGAGAGGTGTCTGCCTACATATGATAACGTCATACCTTAACGAAATATATCAAATTGTTGATTTGGGAAATACCAAGAGTGAAAAAAAGAAAAATATTAAGAGGAGTGCCACAAGCATCAATATTGGGGCCACTTATGATTCTAATTTATATAAATGACCTGCCTCACTTGATGAACTTGTCAGATATAGAAACTATATTGTATGCAGATAATGCAACCTTGAGTAAAAAAATATATATAAAATGGATGTTACTCATATAATCCATACTGGCATATTAGAGAAAGCTCGATCATGGTTCACACCAAATAACTTGATTATCAATGAACAAAAAATAGAAACACTAACTTTTGAAACAATTTGCTTAAATCTAGATAACAAAAATTCTACCAAATTTTTGGGAGTACAAATAGATTATAACCTAAAATGGATAGACCATATAAATAGCATGTGTAGTAAACTCAGTAAGACGTTTTTTGATATCAGAAGAATTAAAAAAACAGTAAATCAAAGTACGGCACTTGCAACATATCATTCACTTTTTCATTCAGTCCTTAGGTATGGCATAATCAATTGGAGTAATGCATCAAAGGTACGACCTGATAGAATATTTATCGTTAAAAAATCTGCAGTAAGAAGTATAATCTTGGGGAATGTAATTTTAAAAAATTTTTACTTTCGAGTGCTCTTACATTATGCTCTTTAGCACAGCAGATATTCAATCTAGAGATCAAATATGTCCTCAGTGCCTCTCGACAATTTGCTTAAAATTACTGAAAAGCAATTTCTTTTAAGTTCCTTCTCAAAAACACCTGATATTGTGGCTTCAACATCGTGAAGAAAGCTATTCATTTTTTGTGATAGAAATGTTAAAAATCTTCTGCTCTTGTTTCTTATGAGGGAATTGAATATTTCATTTTGCTTCCCCAATATCACATAATCGGATTAAA